CTAATTGGAAAACATACAAACACAAATGCAAACACACATAGCTAAGTACTAAGGACTTTGGTTGGCTCATTTTCACTGCCCATCTTCCTCGTCAGTGTCTCGTCCTCGTTTTTCTGGATTTGCTCATCTTAATTGTCCTCGCTAGAGTCACTTCCCTCCTCATTGGTCCCTTTGTCCTCTTGATTTATTTCCTTGCTTTGGTCATCGCCATTGCCCTCGTCGTCCTCTTCACTGCCCTCTTCCTCATTGGTCCCTTTGTCCTCTTGATTTCTTTCCTTGTTTTGTTCATCGCCATTGCCCTCGTAGTCCTCTTCACTGCCCTCTTCCTCATTGGTCCATTTTCCCTCTTGATTTCTTTCCTTGTTTTGTTCATCTCCGTTGCCCTCTTCGTCCTCTTCACTGCCCTCTTCCTCATTGGTACCTTTGTCCTCTTGATTTGTTTCCTTGTTTTGGTCATCGTCATTTCCCTCGTCATCATCTTCACTGTCCTCTTCCTCATTGGTGTCATTCTCCTCTTCACTGCTTTCCTTGTTTTGCTCATCGTCATTACCCTCGTCATCTTCTTCACTTCCCTCTTCATTAATTTCCTCGTTTGGCTTAGGAGATAGTTCCCAAGGTCTTGAGAATTTTTTGTAGTCAATCCTCAAGGACCTCATGATGTGATGGTTGCATTTAATGATGCAGCGTCGAGCTTCCTTCTCTCGATCGAGGCGGGAGAGAATGAGTGCATTTTGCTCCAGAATTTGGGAATTCTGCCGACCCAATCCCTCAAAATGGGATATGTATCTGTCGGTGGATGGTCCGTCTTAAGTCGTAGTTTGGTGATGTTGTGCAGGTTGTTCCGGAGTCTCCTCGACCATTTGCTAAACAACATGCTCCGATGCGTTTGCCTCATCTGTTGCAAGAGGTGGAGCAGGATGAGGGAGGCCAACAATGCCTAGCACACCATTCTCCTTAACCACCAAACACAGACATGATCAATATCAGAAGCATTAGTTACATTTGCTCAATGTTCAAAAGGAACTATATTAGTAGGCAATCCAAAACTTGCACAAAATCAATCCTAGATTGTTTAAATCCCGACTAGTTCTGTTTTAGCATTCACTGTGAAAAGGAAAGTGTTGGTTGGAACATTTACCTTTGATAACAAATATATATCCGCAAGGTTTTTTTGGGAGATTGGTTGAGTGGACTGGGCAATGGTGCAATGAGAACCCACCGGCTCAATGCCAAAATGCCGAGCTAGCCTTGTGATGTAGGCACCTCCATGGATGGTCTTGATTTGTTTGTTGAAGGTCATCTTCTATAGGGTTTTCAGTATGAATAAACCAAGATGAATTGGGGGATCTTTTACCATAGAGAGGAAAAAGTTCAAATCCCGCTTGGTCACACTCCCCGGGCTCCCCTCCCTAGATGCCACAGAATGAGCGATAATGTTGTGGATGATACGGCATGGGGGAAGAAGATCATTCCCTTTATAGTGGGCAGTGTCAGACTTTGCCACATGGTTTTGTTTTACCGTTCTCCACATAGCATTGACCAATTGTGCTCTTGGTGAATATATTTTCTCTGAAATCAAACCATGTCCATCTGTAGTGAGAAATCCTGGTGGGTATATATGGAGTGCCTTTGTGAACTCAGTGAGGCTCATCTGTCTCGCCTGTCGTCCAAGGCAAAAAGTTATGTTGTCTTCGGGATTGTCGAGGTGAAACTCGGACATATACTTGATGGAGAGAGTGCTGAGGAACTCAATAGTAAGCTCCCGGTAGATGACCTCGTTGATGGAGAGAACCGCACACCATGCCGGGAGATGGAGGCATGTGCGAATGGGGTCCGCTGCTCCGAGGCGCTCTAGGAGATCCCAATCAAATCATCTTTGCTTCCCAAATGGGAGGGGAAGGAAACGCTCCAAAGCCCTCCTATGTTCGTCGGGTAGTTGGAGGAAGCCGTGCAGTCCCCCTCCTCCTAGTTGAGCCTCTGTTTGTGGTGGTGGTGGAGATGGTTGACGTGCCCGTCCTTGGTTGTTTTTGTGTTGTCGTTTGGGGGGAGTGTCTCGTTGTTGGGTTTGGCGGCGATGACGAGAAGGAGCCTTCACTTTGGCAGGTGAGGCTGATGGTTGCGTGGTTTTTTGTTTAGCTTTCCCCATTCCTACAAAAACCAACTAAGCACATTTAGTCTTTAGTGAATGAGAGGGAAAAGAATTATGCATAAGCATAAGCAATTCAAAAATCAAGGGATCTGGTATGCATTCCAGTTTTCAACAAAAGATACTGGAAGATATAGACTTACAGACTTTTCCCTTGATGTCTCTTTGAGTATTCCATCCTCGCCGATCTCCAAGGTATCCTCTACTATTGTAACTCCCCTTGGAGCTGGGGTGATACCGCACAGAACAAATTTTCCAAGCTTGATGCAATCCTTGGTCATGGGTCTTTCACCCATTGCATCCCTCCCACTCAAAACTTCTCTCTATGTATTTCGATCTCTCTGTATTTCAATCTCTCTTTGTATTTCAATCTCCATCTCTTTGCTTCCTTCCTTGTCGAAGGATAGTATCGAGCTTGGAAAATGTGTTCTCCTTGCTTCCTTCCTTAGAGATCGATGAGGTGGAATACTCAATGTGACGTCAAGGGAGAAGATCCCAGGAGCATTCTAATCACGTCTACACCATCATGATCAGTCAGAACCATGTCCATGCTCACTGCAAGGTATGCATTCCAGTTTTCAACAAAGATACTGGAAGATATAGACTTACAGACTTCTCCTTTGACGTCTCTTTGAGTATTCCATCCTCGTCGATCTCCAAGGTATCCTCCACTATTGTAACTCCCTTTGGAGCTGGGGTGATACCGGACATAACATATTTTCCAAGCTCGCTACAATCCTTGGTCAGGGGTCTTTCACCCATTGCATCCCTCCCACTCAAAACTTCTCTATATGTATTTCGATATCTCTGTATTTCAAGCTCTCTCTGTATTTCGATCTCCATCTCTTTGCTTCCTTCCTTGTCCAAGGATAGTATCGAGCTTGGAAAATATGTTCTCCTTCCTTCCTTCCTTCCTTCCTTGGAGATCGACGAGGTGGAATATTCTATGTGACGTCAAGGGAGAAGATCCCAGGAGCATTCTAATCACGTCTACACCATCAATTCGTTGATCAAGTAACACATTACTATGTCAAACTAAGATGAATATGATGATTTCACAGCATAAAGGTTAGCCACAATGGATTTGTACAGATATGTTTCAGTTTGTAAAGATTTATGCTTTTTTCAGATGAAAGTACAAATAAAGAGTGGAGATTATGAATGTGAATAATACTCAGTGAAGTCTTCTGTTTGGCCTTATGATTGTAGTTGGCTAGTTGCTATACCCTGCAATTTTCACTCCTGCCATTATGAAGAACAGTTAAGTCAGCACTAAGAAAATACCAAAAAACAAAGAGAGAGTATTGCAAGAACAGTAGAATGACATTCAGGAGGCTGCTGTGGGGTGAAGATAGAAGAAGAACAAACCATGAAGCCTTCTGGAGAAGTCATCCCACCAATCCAAAGAGCATTGAGAAGCTGCTGAACCAACAAGTTCTAGTGTTGAATACAATGTATGCCTTTAACTTGGGAGACAACAAGTTCTAGTGTAACATACAATGTAGGATCAAAACAATTAGGAATGTAATCACAATTAGGAATTCAAGAAACCAGAGAAGTGTGCCGCTGTGGTTAAGAAGAACTCACTAGAGGCGCTGTGGGGATCGACGTGGAACATAGGGCAGGGAATCGTGGGGAAATGGTCGCCGTCGCCGCTGAACCTTGGAGCAGTTACCAGGAGAAGGAGTCGTGGGGAAATGGTCGGCGGCAGAAGAATCTTGGAGTAGTTACCAGGAGGAGTCGAGGCCGAGCGAGCGAGGGCGAGGGCGAGGGTTGGGGGTCGAAGTAGAACAGAGGGTTGGGGGTCGGGTTCTAGTAGAACAAAGGAAGTTTCAAATAGGGAGTTTCAAATTTTAAGGTTCCATCTCACGGCTTTTATCCCGGGCGGGATATTGCCAACTCTAACCCGTGAAAACCCCTGGAACTTCCCCTTTTTTTTAAAAAATCGAACGGTACATCTCCCGGCCGTGAGATTTCAGTTATGAGGCGTGTTTTTGGATTTCAGCTGTGAACATCTCACGGGTTAATCTCACGCCCGTGAGAATTTACAGATGAGCCGTGAGAAGTCCAGCATTTCAAATCCAAACCACGGATCATCTCACGGCCGTGATATTGTCAAAGCCAACCCGTGAAAACTCCTGGAACTTCCCCCTTTTTAAAAAAAATCTAACGTTACATCTCCCGGCCGTGAGATTTCAGTTATGAGGCGTGTTTTTGGATTTCAGCTGCGAACATCTCACGGGTTAATCTCACGCCCGTGAGTATTTACAGGTGAGCAGTGAGAAGTTCAACATTTCAAATCCAAAAACACGACTCATCTCACGGCCGTGATATTGTCGAAGCCAACCCGTGAAAACCCCTGGAAAACTTAGAAGTGCATTTTTACACTACAAGAAAACTTAGTTATGGCGACAAAAAATAGAGACAAATATTGTATCTGTCTTTCAAAGTATCCTATACACGACAAATATGTTATATGTCTCTATAGAGATGATTATGTGACTCTAAAAACTTATTATATATGACAGATATAGAATTTGTCTCTGTATATATTAGCTTCTACGATTAAAGATACTTTTATATATTAAAAAACTATGAATTTGTCGTTGTTGATATTTGAATTTGTCTCTAATAAAAGTGATTTTCACTTATAATATTATCATTTTTTTATTGGTCGAATTATAATGTTGCTTTTAATTTGCTTACTATTTCTTTCTAGACGAGTGGAAACTCTATCCTACCCATTAATTAGTTTAACAAGTGCTTTTAATTGTTGCTACGTATTAAAACGTAAAGGTGGTATTAGCTGGCAAAGCTTTCTTCCTATATAATTTAAAAAAAAACATAAGTAATGCTGCTTTTGCTAACTGATTATAATATTCAGCTTTTTTCTTCCTCTTTACAAATCAATCCATCAAAGTACCCATTACACAATTAAAAGTTAAACATCACCGTCTTGGACTTGGGAGTTGGGATCCTTTTGAATTTATTCCAAAAAAAAAAAAAAAATTAAACAAAGAAGTTGTGGACTATTTTTTTTTTTTGAATAAAAGTTGTGGACTAGCGGTACCCAAATTCTACAGCAGCACTCGCCTTTTCCTCCCTCTTTGTGAGAAGCAGGATCCCCAATTTTTATCCCCATAGGACGCTTAACTGTTCCCGTCTGCGAACATCTTGCTCCGAGTGTCAGATTTCTCGCATCTATTGCCAGCTCCTTCGTCAATTTCACGACCTGATACGGGATTGCGCTATTGCCTAAGCTCTTGTTCTTCGTTTGCTTTCCTTGGTTCTCTTATTGAAGTTGGGAGAAGAACTAAGGGGCTCTGGCTCGATCCTGCTCGCCTCGCCTCCACATGTACGTCTTCCCGAGTTCTCGAGCTGTTCCCCTCTATATGTGATGTCTGACTGCAATGCTCTGTTTAAATTAAGCAACTACTTGGTCTTTGCAAGGCTTGAACATTGGACGTTAGTGTTAAAACGTTGAATTTTAACAGTATAAAAGTAGTGTTTTGATTGACTGGTATTGCTTAGTACATTGATTATTTTTCATATTGTGAAATGGGTAATATGGCAAACGCTTTGGATTTTCATCATACAATGAATTTTGCTGTACCTTTCTATGGTTGTCGAGACAGTTAGTTTTATTTGTGGAGTGAACATTTTGACCTGAATTTGCAATCTGTCGTTGTTTTTCTTTTTCATTTGGAAGGTTTTCAAGATGGATAAAAGTTGGATGAATAAGCACAGGGCTAGTGATGAATATAGAACTGGTTTGAACAATTTTCTTGCATTTGCATTTGGTTCACCCTGTGCTCAAGATGGCAAAATTTTGTGCCCTTGCAAAAATTGCTGGAACCGTTCTTGGAAGTCTCACGGTGATGTATATGGTCACTTAGTATGTGTTGGATTTCTACCGAATTACACCCACTGGATTTTACATGGGGAGAGTTCATTTCATACTTCATCTGCAGAGGATACTATATGCCAAGATCATATAGATACAAATACTAGTATGCATGACTTGTTGAATGATATGTTCATCGGTGTCCAACCAGAGGTAACAGAAGAACCGAATGATGATGCTCTTAAATTTTTTAAGTTAGTAGAAGCAAATCAAACCGAACTTTATCCTGGGTGCACAAGTCATTCAAAACTTTATTTTATCATCAAGTTATTTCACTTGAAATGTCTTGGAAATTGGTCCATCAAATCATTCAGCATGCTGTTAGAGTTATTGAAAGAAGTATTGCCAAAGGGAGAAACTTTACCTGAATCTTACTATGAGGTGCAGAAGCTCATATCAGATTTAGGCCTGAGCTATGAAGTTATCGAGGCTTGTCGTAATGATTGCATGTTGTTTTGGAAGGAGCATGAAAAGGAGTCGAAATGTCTTGTTTGTGGAGATGATAAATGGAAAAACAAACAGAGTGATGATGTCGGATCCTCAAAGAAGAAGAAAAAAAAACATTCCTTATAAGAAACTTTGGTACTTTCCGATAGGAAAGAGACTACAGAGGTTGTTTATGTCCTCAGAAACAGCTTCTTTTATGCGTTGGCACAAAGAAGGTCATACAAATGATGGAAATTTAAGGCATCCGGTGGATTCCCCTGCATGGAAAACTTTTGACTTTCTACATAAGAAATTTTCTTCTGATCCTCGCAATGTTAGATTGGGTTTAGCTGCGGATGGTTTTAATCCTTTCAGATCAATGAATAATTCACACAGCACATGGCCAGTTGTATTAGTACCTTATAACTTGCCCCCTTGGTTATACATGAAGCAACCATACATGTTTCTATCATTACTCATTCCTGGACCTTCATCTCTAGGAAATGACATTGATATATATTTGTAGCCTTTGATAGTAGAGCTACAAAATTTGTGGAATGAGGGTATAGAAACTTATGATGCATCATTGAAGCAAAATTTTAGGATGAAAACATCATTGTTGTGGACTATCAGTGATTTCCCAGGTTATGCAATGTTATCAGGTTGGAGCACCAAGGGCCATCTGACATGTCCTTGTCATAAGTACAGTCACTCTCAATGGTTGAAGCATTGTCATAAGTTTTGTTACTTGGGCCACCAAAGATTTTTGTAGGTTGGGCATGAGTTTCGAAGACATAAGAAAGCCTTTGACAATAATCAAGAGTTCAGACCTGCCCCGCGACCTATGTTTGGATCAGAGGTCTTACTTGAGCTACAGGGGAAACAAGTTAAGTTTGGAAAGCTCAGTAATAGTGATCCCTTACCCCATGGCTGGAAGAAATGCAGTATATTCTTTAACCTACCATATTGGAAGGACAACTTGTTGAGATATAACTTGGATGTAATGCATATTGAAAAGAATGTTTGTGACAACATTCTTTGGACAATATTGAATGTGAGTGGGAAGTCAAAGGATAGTGTCAAATCTCGTTTGGACATGGCACTGATGAAGATAAGGCATGGATTACACCCCAAAAGACATGTTTCTGGTAAGCTAAAGATACCTATTGCAGCTTTCTCACTCAATACTAAAGAAAAGAAGACCTTCGGCAAAGTATTAAAGAGTGTTAAAGTTCCTGATGGTTATGCTGCTAACATATCTAGATGTGTGAACTTGAAGAATAAGAGCATCTTAGGTCTGAAGAGTCATGATAGTCATATTCTGATGCAACAACTTCTTCCTTTGGCAATAAGAAGACTACTGCTAGAGCAATTAGCAAGCCGGTGATACAGTTATGCTTTGTCTTTAAGGAATTATGTTCAAAGGTTGGCCGTGTAGAGAATTTGAATAAATTAGATGATGAAATTGCTATAACATTGTGTCACTTAGAAAGGATCTTTCCTCCGTCATTTTTTGACATTATGATTCACTTGACTGTTCATTTGGTGAGTGAGGCAAAGTTAGGTGGACCAGTACAAGCACGATGGATGTATCCAATTGAGCGGTATGTTTTATTTTTAGTGATTATTCTTATTGATTTTGTTACAGAAAGTAATATGTGTTCATATTTATTTTGTTTGGTGTGAATAAATTCATGTAGGTTCTAATCTACATTAAAGTCATATGTTGGAAATAAAGCTCATCCAGAAGGTTCTATTGCAAATGGCCATCTTGCTGTAGAGTGTTTAACATTTTGCTCAAGATACTTACATGGTGTCGAGACACGATATAATCGTCCTTCTAGAAACGATGATATCTTTACCCCTGAGAATGAAACACAAGACGAAGAAGTATCAACTATCTTTCCAAGGATAGGTCGATCATTTGGACATGAGGAAGTTGTCTCTCTCAATACTGACACCTTGGCCAAGGCACATCACTATGTGCTTTCTAATTGCAGTGACGTAGATCCTTTCATTGAGTAAGACTCACCTATCATTTTGCTTATCTACCTGTACTTTAGGTAAACATTGTTTAATTTTTTTAATGTTGGATAGGCAACACCTGGCTTTGTTAAAAAGTCAATATCCACGCAAATCACCTCATGCTATTCTAGTACTCCAATTTTATATCTACCATAGGTCATTAATGCATAAAATATAATCTTATAGTTTTAACTCCACTACTAACATACAGATATATGAAGGAAGCCTAAACATATCTCAACAAAATTTAACGATACAGAAACGTTTGGCTCAGTTACCAAACAATGTGGCAAAAAAGTTTCAGGGGTTTATCGTTAATGGTTTAAGGTTTCATACCAGTACGATGGAGCAAAAAAGGAAGACACAGAACAGCGGTGTGATGATAATCGCAAACACTCAAAGTTTTGCTAGTGCCCGAGACAGAAATCCAATCTATAGCGAGATAAGCTATTATGGGGTTATTGATGAGATGCTGGAATTGGATTACAATTATGGTAATAAAGTGGTACTTTTCAAATGTGATTGGGTATCAAATGGTAGAGTTCTGAAGCGTGATGATTTGGGTTTCACATTAGTTAATTTTTTCACAAAGGTTGAGTGATAAGGAGCCATTCATTATGGCTTCCCAATCCTAGCAAGTGTTTTACGTAAGAGATCCCATTGACACAGATTGGCAAGTTGTTATCAAAACCATACCAAGAGATCTATATGATATGGGTGAAAAGGATGTCGTTGATGCTGATACTATTGTGCCGACTGATGGTGATGTGCTTTCTAGGGACATTGCAGATGATGATCATGTTGATTGGACTAGGACTGATAGAAACGAGGAATTGGTTGATGCTCCAGCTGAGATATTGGTTGATGCAGAATAGGAGGAAGACAACGAAGAAGAGAACACTATATAGATGGATGTCATTGCAAATTTGGTTTGCAGTTGAAGATTCGAATTGTCTTACTGCAGCATGTGGATAGTTTATTCCCTTATTTTTGCAGTTGCATGACATGGCTCCTGAGCACTGTTTTTATTTTTCCCGTTTCCCATTTTTCTTCTTGTGCTTCCTTCTTGTTATTTCTTCTGTTGCCCCCACCAACTACTGCCTACCATTTGCTGTGCAATGAAACCTTTTGATACGTTGTAAAGTTTTTGCATTATTAGCAATAAAGTTTCACTTTTTCAGTCTTGCCAGTTCCTTTCTCATGTATATATGCAGGATCACTGTCAACATATGCACAGATGATTCAAGACGGGTTAGCTATGAACTCAAAACCAGCATATACAATTAAAGTTTGCAACTCTAATAATAGTGTTGTTGATAGACTATTTGGTGGCATATATAAGGGAAGTTCTCCCTATTTTTGTTAGGATAAACCGGAAAAACAAGAAAAACCTCCTACCGAAGGATAAACCGGTAGGCGATATTTAGCGGTATGAAACTGTTGAACCATGGTTAAATTACGATTTTAGCATAAAATATCTTAACTCTGACTTTTCCGGTACAACTTTCAATATAATATTTCAATACTTTGTTATAACTTACCAAACCAATTATCATCCTACCCAACACTACAAACGAGTACTAAAAATTTTCAAAAATTTTTTGCGACATACAATGGGTCCAACATTTTGTATAGTTAAATTTAATATCTAAAAAATTGAGCGGCTACCCGGCTGCCATCGAAAAAAAAAAATAGAAAGAGAGCGGCAAAAGTGAGCGGTAAATTTTTTAGTAAACCTAAATAAATTCTAGCGTAGCCCTCCACTAATCTATTCCATGTATTTTAATCAGAATAGGGTTCCGACTTCCAAGCAAGAGTTTTATCGAAGGTGATTCCGTAGCGGCGACAAAAATAGGTATCGTCTTTTTCATCAAAATCCATAACTGGTTTCTGATTCTGATAATAATATAATAGCAGGTAATGGTGCGTGCAAGATCCCAATCGGCTCAGAATTTGGTTCCCCATCCAAATCAGAATCATGAAAACATAGTTCAAGGTAAGCTTACACGTAGTGATTATTTGGTCTCTTTATATATATATCTTAGTTAGCTTCTGTACTGTTGGCCTCTTTCCCGTTAGAATTTTTTTTGGGAATATTGATTGTGTTCAGAGTGTAGACTCTTAAGCATGGAGGTTACACCTATTCCATTCACGATTATAACGTTTGTTGCAGCTTCAACACATATGAAATGAAAAAGAGGTCCTACTAAGTGCAAAGATATTTGGCCTTTGTCGAGGGGTGAAAAATTTCATATCAGGGTCGATACTCAGGGACAACCCGTTGGTAAAAATGTTAAACACTTTTTTGGGTACTTTAGCGAGGAATGGAGCTTATGCTCCTCTTAGATACGAGGATTGGAGGAAAATGCCAAACTATTACAAAACTGAAATGTGGGATTTGGTACAGGTATGCATATTAAGTCACTTATACAACAAATATCATTAATTTTATAAGTTTCTTCATCCTCATTTTCAGTTTAATTTATATGTAGGAAAAATTTGACATTGACCCATTCCTTGAACCTTGGATATTGAGTTCCTTAAGTAGCAAGTGGAGGAATTTTAAGTCTTCTGTGAAAAGGGATTGGTTTCAATGTAAAGAGCGTGACGAAAGGGTATCCGATGATGATTGGGCATGGCTATTACGATATTGGAGCACAGACAAAGCTTTGGTATGACTATCATACAATATTAGTTCATCTCTTCATTTCTATTTAGCTTACTTTCATGCTAACCCATATGAAATTGTTTACTGCTACAGAAAGAGGAAGTGGTGGGCAAGGAAAATAGGGACAGAGTGTTATCAGCACACGCCTTGGGTTCCAAAAGCTATGCTTGCAAGAGAGACGAGATGGTAGTATGATAAATTTATACATATAAATGATAATACATTATCGATTGTTAATTTATTTTTTCTTAACATTGTAGGCAGAATCTAGGCCGGACAAGTCTGAGCCGACTAGAGCCGAGGTTTATGTTACTGCTCATGTGAGCCCGAATGGGACTCCATTGAATGACAAAGTTGCAAAGGTTATTGTAAGTATTAAATTAGTGAATTCATATGGTTACTATAGATAGTTCAAGCATCATTGTAATTTTTTATACAATCCATTCCAAACTTCACCTTTTCCATCCAGGAAAGGATCAACGAAAAGAAAACTCAAATAGAGCCTTCTCATCATGATAGTCCTGGACCGCGTGACATACTATCACAAGCACTCGGAGAGGACAAATATCATCACTCGAGAACATTTGGATTAGGTTCAGGTTGGGGCATGAAGAATTCTCGTGTGTCAATATTAAAGAAAGCATTAGAGGCTAAAAGAAATGCAGAAGAGAATGTGGAAAAGATGAAAGGAGAGTCGTATGAGGTGAAAGCGGGAGAAGGAAAAATCATGACCTTGCTGCATAAACTACATCCAAATGTGAGCATTGGTGAATTGTTAGACTCAACAACACAAGTACATCTTCTTTTTAATTTAGTAATTTGAAACATTATGGATTGCATTTTTTCCATCAACATAATTGTATGGGTTTGAGTTGTACGACCATGTAGTCATCGAGTCAGAAGGTAATGGAGATGAAATGAGTCCGACTGGATTTGAGGGAGAAGAGGTAAACTTAGAGAGGAGTCCACTGCTTCCTATGTTGCAAGATATAACTCCACGTAGAACTAATAGTCAATTAAATGAGGTAAGTTTGAATTTAGTTTTCAAATGAACAATCATTACTCTATTTTATTGAACAAATCAGGTTACACCAAATCAAATTCTTCAAACTTATCTGCCTCTTTACAATGACTTATCATCTGAAGTGAATTCTTTTGTTATAAAAAACACTTCCCAAAGGGTATGATTTTTTGTAATCCTTTTTTTCATTAGTTTTTATGGATGTTATAGGAGGCTGATTCCTTGTAACCTTTATGTTGTTGGGTGTTTGCTTTAGCTTTAATTACTTGTGGGGTTTGTTTTCTTTGTAATGTAAATTGTTTTATCTTCTCTAATATATCATATAGGTACCAAAAAAGACATTTTCATTTTTGGATTATATGCTGGATTCATCGCATGATGGTGGTTCGTCTAGCCAACCACAGGTGACTTATAGCTAGTTTACATATCTATATATAACACTAAATGCCTATATTCGATGAAGAAAGATAATATTTCTTAATATACTTTTTCATCATTGATATAATAGGTCAACAAGGACTCATCTTCTCTTGTTAGAGTGCAAAGGTCTGAACAAATTTCTTCGACTACGACGACTGATCATATATCACAAGTAAGATATAAATGATGTTTGTTACAAGGTTATAAAAGTTGTTTTGACTGGAGTTCATATCAATAGTAAAATTGGAAAGGTCAAAGCAATGGCCAGCGTAGGCGTCGACAATTTCTTTCTTTTGCTGACTGGGTTATCTTTGACAAGTAAAGCGATACCCAAAGCTCCCATTAATCAAAGACTGACATAGCCTCCAACCGCACATGACAATAACAATTATTCCCATCTACATATATATTCATTTGCAACAAAACACATGGTCTAGAAAATGGTTTGAGCGACATATATAATTGTTGTACAAGATCCATTTCGAAAACAAAAATATTTTCTACGATAAACAATATTATAGACATAAACATAAGTCTCCTAAAGATTATTTAGATGCATATATATACGTCTCAAAAAACTTAATTTCGAGGCAAAATGATATGTCTCTAAAATGAACATCAGAGACAGATACTAACGTCTTCAAATTTATATTTGAAGACAAGTATAAATGTATAATCGTCTCAATATGTAATTTCAGAAACCAAAATATTTGACTCTAAATATCATTTTAGAGACTAATATTTGTGCCTTTCAAACTAGAAATGGAGGCAAATAAAATAGTGCCAAAAAGATGTATTAAAGACTAAAATATTAGTTGCAATATCTCTAATCAGTAACAATTAATATTTGTCTCCATATCTGCCTCCATATGGCTATAATGACAGCACTACAGGAGACAAATGTATAATTTGTATCTACAATAATGCAGAGACAATTAACTACTATATAGATACACATTTTCTTTGTATCTATAGACGAGTTTTCCTGTAGTGTTACATCCACGGCCTCTCTCATGGCCTTTCTCACGGTCGTGATATTTGCAGAATTTCAAATCCAAAAACACGCCTGCTTTCACGACCGTGAGATTTCCAGAATTGGCCGTGAGACTTCCACAAATAGTCTGCACAGACATTCACCTGTAGAACTAACCCCTGTACTTATTATAATGGTGTAAGAAACATAATATATTGTTTTTGAAAACTACAAGCTTATGAAAAGATGAGTCATAATGTTCTTTGAAGCTAGACACGAGCATTACATAGATCCATTCAACGTCACTAGATACTAACTTGCACAAAACAAACATTACAAGATGAAACATAATGTTGTTTGAAGCCGAACACCAGCATTACAGGTTGTGCTTGGATAGTTTGGGAAGTAGAACAGATTCTTGAGTCTCCACATGAAAGCTGCTTTCACTTGCTCCTATGGACTCGAAGTTGTATTCTTGTTGCGTGAAATGACTATCACCTGCACCTGCTTCAGCCATTCTTTTCAGTGGACAATTTCTGATTGTATGTTTAGGACGCCTACAATACTTGCACAACCATGTTTTCACTTGAGGTTGCTTCACATTCCCTTTACTTCGAACTGGATGGGGGTCCTTAATAAACTGAGAGGAGTTCACTCCAGCATCCGTAGTAGCATTATTTGTTTTGCTGGTTGTTTCTTCACTTATTGTCTTCACTCGCAATGTCAAGTCTTCAATCAACCCTTTGGCAGTATGAAATGCTTCATCCAAACTCACAGCATAATGGCACATTCTACTACATTGACCAACCAAGAATCTAAACCTGTCCAAATAAATAAGCACTTTTGTAGTTGGTTCCAAGCACAATAGAAGTAAACAAAGAACTAAATCAACAACTTAAATTTATAATACCTGCTAATATTTTCCTGGGTAGGACAGCTTCCCATACTCGAGGAATCAAACTCTTTTGCATCTTTAGTCCAACGCTTCAAAATGAGTGACTTTGGAATTTGTATTTGATTTTCTGCTTTCAATATACAGAATATATGCCGGCATGGAATTCCGCAGAACTAAAAAATGCCACAAGAACAATGCACATCATGTCCACTTGTGTAAAAGACCACGATGCACTTTAAGTTAGGGTATTTGAATCGTGACAATGTGTAAATTGTTTTATTGGTCAACACACACTTGTCTGTAATATAGTAATGAACTTCTCTAGCTATTTCTGCTCGAACGCTCCTGAACACATTTCTTGTATATACTATAGAGGCATGTCTTTCAATTTCATGTAAATGTGTCATCAAAACAACATCAGTATGTATTGTCTTAAACTGGTCATATAACTCAATTTGTCTCTTATACAAAAGTGCCATGTCAAACTACTTGACAAACTCAAACAACTTCATCTTACTTTGCAAGAATTTATCTAGATAAGAGCTCATGCTCTCACAACGTTGTGATTTAGTCATCCCACCAAAGAAAGTACCTTTCAAGTAAGTTGTGGCCCATAGAGCTCGTCGCCTATACATCTTCTTCATCTACGCATTGTGCTCCAGTCATACTTGGACAAAATTCCCTTCCACGTTGCTTCAAATTGTGGAATAGAACTACAGTTTAGCATGCATTGTTTGAAATCCTCCCGGAAGCCTTCTGCATGGCCACGCGCTTCTGCGTTATTTCCCAAGTTCCAAGAACATAACCGATTTCGAGATCCAGGGAGAACCGACTTGATAGCTTTCCTCATTGAAGAACCACCATATGTTATAACTGCGGTTGGCTTCTTACCACCCATGCAATGTAAAAAAGCATTTAGAATCCATACGTATTTCTCCGCCGTTTCATCCGCAAGTAAAGCACATGCAAAAACAGTGCTTGCATTGTGATTATTCACACCAATGAATAGAAGAAATTGAAGATTATATGCATTAGTCTTGTACGTCGAGTAAAAAACAACAACATCTCCAAAAAGACTATAATCCAATTGTGAAGTAGAATCAGTCCATAACATATTGCCTAGTTCACCACCATCACTTACTGTATATCTACAATAAAAACGAGGATCGGTAGTTGCCCGTGCTTGTAAGTAGGCAAGTGCAGCTTCACTATCACTATCCAAGATCTCCGACCTCCGATCCGCACTAACAAAATTGTAGACATCGGTCTTAGTGAAACCCAAGTTCTGAAAGCTTCCCGCACAATTCACTAGATAATTCATGATTTGATTGGTGCGAACACCAGCAGCCCTAAGTGATCGAATCTGAGCCTTACTTGCTTCATCTACCTTGCGATGAGAACTCAAAAACTGCACTTCATGTGCTCCAGCTAAGTGATGAAAATGTGTTGGTACAAATTGCTTCACCTTGAATCGGTTAGTTGCCTCAAGAAAACTGACTTTGAAAGCAGTCGGACAATGGAGCCTTGTTACAGGCCTAGGTTCACGCTTTCTGTTCTCCTTGTCATTGTGCACTGGCTGACGCTCCCCCTCGCATGAGCAAACCCATCACTGCATATTTCTAACTCCATATTTTGAATATGTGTGAGTGTTCTTTCATACGCTGAATCCCATGGCACAACCATAAGTTGAATAGAACTTGCCAGCCTCCACAAGGGTTTCAAACTCAAAACCCACAACATCACCCGACTCCCATTTAGAATATGGCTTCCCATTCCCGACTTTATCAAGCAGGGTCGAGTCATACGTACTCGAGTACGGTGGAGCCATGGCTGGATTTGCAGCATCTTTGTGTAGAGGTGCATCTGAGCTGTGTGGCTGTGTTTCGAAGCTGTGCAAATGCTCATCTGAGATGTTCTCCTTATCATCATCACCAATGTTAGTGTTATTATCATCCTCAGAATCACTATCACTGGTGTCGACATTGTCCTCCATATTGTCACTATCTCTAACACCACCGGTATCATCTCCATAATCCATTCCCCAATCTAAATCAACATTCAAGTCAATTCCCGTGTCCTTGCCTGTGCTCATATCATCCATCAACCCTTCCATAGTTGATCAACTGAAAACAACCAACAAAATGAAGTTTAGAGACAATTGAAATCCACATATTCACCACCCACAACCGACCGAATCAAACACTTCACTAATCAATTAACAAGCAACGGAAAAATATTAGAGGCATATGCATATAAGCCACATAGTTTCTGTGCATCTTTAAGAATCCTCCAAGCCCCATGTTAACCTCAAAAGGCAGCCCTTTCATCCCCTCATTGCTTATGATTTTGCCTCCCTGGCTATATGCAGGAGCAGGAATACTAACCAGAAAAGACACTTCATATCTCCAGCTCGATAGTTTCCCCTTCACTTCCGCGACAAACCGACCATTCACAAATGAAATGAAGCCAAGCAAGATCAAAATTCACAACACCCACCAAATTGAACAAAGAAGACAACCAGAACCGATCCACTTTTCAATCAACATGAACACCATTACTACCAACAATTTACAGTTTTGAAGCCACCACAATCCCCAATCTTCGAACCCACCATAACATACCACAAACTTCCACATACCAAACTATGCGTAGTAACCACAGCTAAACTGAAACACAATTTCCAGCCCCAAAACCATCATAATTTCAGTCTAAAAAACCAACTATACATACACGATTTCTCAAAATTTGCAAACACAATAGGCATAATCTCAACACACAACTAGTACTAAACTTCAAATTCCGAAAACCCACAAGGAAAGTTCCCCTTGGTCATTGACGTTGCCGCCGATGAAGCTCAGAGCTGCCGGCGATAGCCTTTCCTTACCCTGCTATTGACACTAATTTCGTCTCTTCCCCTCAACCAACCATTAAACCCAGATATTAAAACAGAAAACCCAAATTAGAACCCCTAAAACTCAAACCCCCCACGAAAAATCATGCATGCCCTTACCTATTAAAACCCACTTGCTCTCTCTGCCTCGTCGCCGTCTCGGCTAGAAACGATCTGTTTCCGTCGTGAAGGATAGGTGGCGAAGGATGGGCTAATAAGGGAGAATGGAAAATCGATGGTTGCGTAGAGAAGGGAAGACGAAGGAAGGGAGAAAGGAAGAATCTGGTTTCGTAATATTGGTGGAGAAGGAGCCGACGAAGGACGACAATTAAGAACTGAGGCTGGGATGGAGGGAGAGGATCAGTTCTCTGGCGTCGACGAAGGACGAGAAGGAAGATATGGCATCACTGTTACGACTTACGACGGTGAGGGTTTAGGATCTAGGAATTTCTTCATTATGACCGACCCAAAAAATTATCGGTTTATAATTAGATGGGTTAAACCCAAAACTATAATCAAACGAAAATCCACCATATACCGTAAACCCAATCTCACGTCGGTTCACAAGTACATGGGTTCAACCCAAAACCATAATCAAACACTCATTAAACCATATACTCTCAACCAATCTCACGTCGGTTCACGAGTACATGGGTTCAACCCAAAACCATAATCAAACACTCACTAAACCATATATCGTAAATCCATCTCACATCGGTTTATAATTAGATGGGTTAAACCCAAAACCATAGTCAAACGCTCAGTCAACCATATAAAGTACATGGGTTCAACCCAAAACCATAATCAACGTCAATCAACCATATACCGTAAACCCAATCCCATGTCGGTTCACAAGTACATGTGTTCACCCAAAACCATAATCAATCACTCACTAAACCATATACTCTCAACCAATCTCACATCGGTTAACAAGTAGATGGGTTAAACCCAAAACCATAATCAAAACACTAACTAAACCGTACCATATATCGTAAATCAATCTCACATCGGTTTATAATTAGATGGGTTAAACCTAAAGCCATAGTCAAACGCTTAGTCAACCATATAAAGTACATGGGTTCAACCCAAAACCATAATCAAACGTCAATCAACCATATATCGTAAACCCAATCCCACGTTGGTTCACAAGTATATGGGTTCAACCCAAAACCATAATCAAACGTCAATCAACCATATACCGTAAACTCAATCACACGTTGGTTCACAATTACATGGGTTCAACCCAACACCATAATCAAACACTCACTAAACCATATATCATCAACCAATCTCACATCGGTTCACAATTACATGGGTTCAAACCAAAAACTGCAATCAAACACTCACTAAACCATATATCATCAACCAATCTCACATCGGTTCACAATTACATGGGTTCAACCCAAAAACCGTAATCAAACACTCACTAAACCATATATCATCAACCAATCTCACATCGGTTCATAATTACATGCGTTCAACCCAAAAACCGTAATCAAAGACTCACCAAACCATATATCATCAACCAATCTCACATCGGTTCACAATTACATGGGTTCAACCCAAAAACCATAATCAAACACTCAATCAACCATATATCATCAACCAATCTCACATCGGTTCACAATTACATGGTTCAACCCAAAAACTGTAATCAAACACTCACTAAACCATATATCATCAACCAATCTCACATCGGTTCACAATTACATGGGTTCAACCCAAAACCCATAATCAAACACTCAATCAACCATATACCATCAACCAATCTCTCATCAGTTCACAATTACATGGGTTCAACCCAAAAACCGTAATCAAATACTCACTAAACCATATATCATCAACCAATCTCACATCGGTTCACAATTACATGGGTTCAACCCAAAAACCGTAATCAAACACTCATTAAACCATATATCATCAACCAATCTCACATCGGTTCACAATTACATTGGTTCAACCCAAAAACCGTAATCAAACACTCACTAAACCATATATCATCAACCAATCTCACATCGGTTCACAATTAGATGGGTTCAACCCAAAAACCGTAATCAAACACTCAATCATCCATATATCATCAACCAATATCACATCGGTTCACAATTACATGGGTTCAACCCAAAAACCGTATTCAAACACTCACTAAACTATATATCATCAACCAATCTCACATCGGTTCACAATTACATGGGTTCAACCCAAAAACCGTAATCAAACACTAACTAAACCATATATCATCAACCAATCTCACATCGGTTCATAATTACATGGGTTCAACCCAAAAACCGTAATCAAACACTCAATCAGCCATATACCTAACCTCAATCTCACATCGGTTTACAATTACATTGGTTCAACTCAAAAACCGTAATCAAACACTCACTAAACCATATATCATCAACCAATCTCACATCGGTTCACAATTACATGGGTTCAACCCAAAAACCATAATCAAACACTCAATCAACCATATACCTAACCTCAATCTCACATCGATTTACAATTACATGGGTTGAACCCAAAACTGATAATTAAATGCTCATTCAACCATATGTAGTAAATGGAAAACGGACAAAGAATTTTACAAAACATGTTAGGTAATCTGACTGGTTAATGCGGTGAATGATTATTCCAAGTGCGCAGGTTCGATCCTTCGAAATGACATTTTTTATTCACTAACTGGCGCCCACAATCTCACGGGTGTGAGATACTCCTTTCAAGACCGTGAGGTTCCCTGAACTAAAGGGAATGTTTTTTTCATTCTCACGGCCAAGTCTCACGGGCGTGAAATTACATCATTAAGGCGTTAGGAAAAACCCATCTCACGGCCCAGTCTCACGATCCTTCTAAACGACATTTTTTATTCACTAACTCACGCCCACAATCTCACGGGTGTGAGAGACAGCTTTCAAGACCGTGAGGTTCCCTGAACTAAAGGGAATGTTTTTTTCATTCTCACGGCCAAGTCTCACGGGCGTGAAATTCCATCATTAAGGCGTTAGGAAAAACCCATCTCATGGCCCAGTTTCACGAGCGTGAAAGGTCCATCCTTAAGGCGTCAGGGAAATCACCATCTCACGGCCCAATCTCACGGCCGTGAGAATGGATTATTGCGGCCGTGAAACAGCCTGCTGGCAGGGTGAATAAGGTCCATTTTCAACCATTTTTTGGTATATGATCATTCATAACTTCTTCCTTGTCGACACATTAAACATAATATAGAGAAAAGAGAACATCACTGAATAATGCTTCATTCATAACTTCATTGTAATTTCAACAGTTTCCTAAACTTCATTCAACATCTACATTCACTAAAATTCATTCAACATCTACATTTTCCTAAACTTCATTCAACATTCACATTAACTAAACTCTACATTAACAACACAACTCTCAATGCTTCTTAGACTTTCTACCCTTTTTCTCCCCATGCGCGTGCAACGCCTTTCTTCCTCGATTGAGTATGTTTGTCTTGAAATTCACCTTCTCAGTCTCAATTTGGGCAGGTCTCGCATGACTCTCAAAATATTCATCTGATTGTGCCTTAACTGTAGCTTGCACCTCATTCAAACGCGTAGTGAGCAAGTACATTGTAAGTTGTGCCCGTTCATAGTCACTGTCGAACTGGTCAAGATTCTTGGAATATCGATCTGGATCCAGCAAGTAATTGGCGACAAATAGTCGACAATAAAATCCGTAATATAACTAATAATTACCATGTTCATGATGCGAACAAATAATTACCGAACTTAATTAGAATAGTGCACAATTGACAACAACAAAGGGTCCCCATTTAGTTGGCAAGCAACATCTTGGCGATATCTAACCACAAAGTCCACAAATGAAAACGCCCCGCAGATATCATCCTTAAGCAACCAGTCTAGACCCAATTTCTGCAAATGAAAACATCCCCCTCATCGATATTTAACGACAAAGTCGGCAAATGAAAAACAACTAACAACTAAGCAATAAGTCAAGTTTGAAAACTTGAAGAACTAGACAAGCAGCAAACCAGTTTCTGCATCCTTGCATCATATTCTTGGTTATGAGTTCCTGGTAATGAGTCCCAGATTTCAATTTCTTTGGTATCCAAGTTAAAGACCGCCAGATAGAAGTGGCTCACCGTGAGGTTGAAAATTGGGACATGAATCTGAAATAATGCACAAACAAACAATAATTAACAATTTAACATAGGAGGGTTAAGCCATTTCCTTTTAGAAAATAACATTACAACATACCTTACTGTAGCAAAGTAGCTCATTTATACGGTATCGCTCAAGTATCTTATATGAACCCATGGTAGCCATAAATTGCTGCTCGTTGCAATGATACGCACGATCCTAGAAAAA